AATCCAGCAAACTAAACTAGGACAGAAGAAAAATGACTGCCGGGGGGGTGGAAATCATTCTTCTGCCAGATGTGTGGGCCGGGACAGAGCTGTTTGAGTAGCAGCCTCTTTGTATGTCGAGTTACTCTTGTGCAGTTCCTAGGCACGTCTAGATGGAGTAATAAAAATAAAGAAAAAAGCACAGAAGGTGTCAAAACCACCCAGAGAAAATTTCCGTGTCCAACAAATAAGCAAAATAACCAGAGGAGACAAATCCTGTCAGTAGGTCCATATTATTTTCTGTCCCACACTGCGCTGCAGGAGTCTGTTCAGTGACATGACTAACGTCTGTCACGTGTTGTTTGTTCTCATCCTCTGTGCTCTGGCGTGTGCAACGGGCTATTTTGTTTTGGCGAGGTGGTTTTGAATACATGTGTTGCTATATGATTCTGGTGAGGAAGGCAGGGCAGGGAAGCATGCCGGACGCTTGCAGCGGAAGGTGGTGAGGTATATGCAGACGCACAGATCCTGGAGAGCTCATCTTATGTTACTCATCTGTATCCCCATACAGCTACAGATGTGTGGACCACATTCATCCAAAAGTATATCTCCCCATGCTCCAAGTCCTAAAAATACGAATGCAGCTTTCTGAGGGGAGGGGCAGGACGTAAGAACAACTGTGAAGCCTTTTGATGGTTTTGTATTGAGCTGAACAGGCCCCAGACCATGACTTGCATTTCTAGTCACGTGCATTGCTTTTAATGGGCCGAGTCTGTCGTTTCTTCTTCGTTTCCTTACATTTTAGGCGCTGATCTTGTGCGCTGGTCTAAAGGCCTTTATACCCAAGCAGAGCCCCCTGGGAATCAGTACCACCTTGCTCGGGTAGGATCGAACCTTTGGATTATATTATATCATACCAGGGTAGGGCTGGTGAATTGTGTGCTTGTGTGTTTTGGGCAACATCTAGCCGAGTGGAGCTGCGATCACTCAACTTTGGGCACTGCCATCGTACAATTCATGCGTACTGGTGCAAGAGCAGGTTTCAGCCTTTAATGCTTTGGGTGTGTATATATGCACACACACACGGTCAGCTATCGCTAGGATGGGTGAGGTACACAAAGGGAGGCAGGCAGACAAGAGCCAGACGAAGTAAAATAAAATACCACCTCATGTTGTTAATGCCTGTAATTTTATGGCAAGTCTTGCAATAACATACGTATTCCCTAAAGCGTCAGCTCCTGGTGGCAAATGACTAGGTCAGCATTTAATACCAAAAAAGTAAGCGTTTTGCCCAGCTGGCTGCAGAATCAAATTGGACCATATAATCCGAATGGTCAAAAGCCAGGGGCAAAGAAGAAGAACCCCAAGAGTATTGTTTAAACCTAGGGTTTGCCATTGAGTCTCGTGATTTTTAGGCCCCAAGTAATGATTGAGGACCTTTGGGGTTGGCATTGCTAAGCAGCCTTGCAGAGATGAAATCAGATGGGTGCAGCATAAATTTTTCAGGCTCAGGGTAATGGAGTATCTTGCGCAGCACACCTGGCACATCCTCACCGAGCCACACATCCATCAGGCTGCAAGCATCCAAGGGGCCCTGTCGGCCCCGGTGGTGTCAGTCTGAGCTGGAAGAAGTTTTGGATCCTAGCTCTGCCCTTGAGAGTTGCTGCCAAATGCTACGTGTGTTTCAAGGGTGTAGGTTGTAGCCGTGTTGGTCTAAGGACAGAGGCAGACAAGGTTCCTTGGGTGAATCTGATATCTTTTTTGTTGGTCTAATAAAAGATACCAGATTCACCCAAGGAACCTTGTCTGCCTACGTGTGTTTCAAGGCACTCAGCGGCTGCGGTAATGTTCATGTTCAATGAGATCCCCGGGTAGATAACCCAGGGCTTGGTTCTCTGCTTTCTCTAAACTCCATTTATGCACGCAGCAGACACAGCAGCCTTGGTGGACTGCAGAAGTGGCTTCAGAGTTTCTTCCCGGTATGTGGGAAAGGCGAGTCCACCACACAAACCAGCAGATCTGATCCGCGGCTTCCCCTAGGCCCTGTGTTTTATGCTGACAGTCAGTGGAAACAAAAAAACCCCGGCAGGAAATGTTGAAATGTGTTCGGACAACCGAAGGAAGAGATTTCTGTACGCAGCATCTCTGTGTGGGGGGCTTCCCGCAACCCCCCCGTCCCAGAGATCCAGCATTGCCAGCTCTCATGATTTTTGGCGTTGTTCTTAAAGTCGGCGCTTCGGGAATGTGAAAAACCTTAGCTCTTTCATGTATGTACGTATGTATATATACTTTTATATAATTCTTATGTATATATACTTATATATATTTATACAATATAGTATTATTATTTATTTATATATATTCTTTGATATATTCTTTAATGATTCTTTCTATTTATATATATTCTTTGATATATTCTATT